GTCCCCCTCCCTTCCCCGCAGGATCACGCTGCCGCGCGGCGCGATGGAGGCGGCCGCGGCGCGCGGCAAGAACGGGGACTGGCTCTATTGTCTTGAACTCCTGGAGTCTACGGGCATCGTGGTCGTGCCCGGCAGCGGCTTCGGCCAAGCGGAGGGCAGCCTGCACTTCCGGTGGGCGGGCATCCCCGAGCGCCAGCCGGCTGGCCGGCCGGCTGGCCGGCGGACGCTGCTCGGGGGCGGCGCGTGCGCGGGGGCTGCCAAGTCGCGCCGCGCGGGGCACGGCGCGGGCGCCGCCCTGGCCGTGACATGCTACGTTGTACTGCGCTAGGCGGGTGCGGCCTGCATCAGGGGTCTTGCAAGCCGTTTCGCACCGCCGTTTCTATCACATATCCTCCCCTCCCCCCGCAATCTCACTCCCTCACACCCCACACCCAGCCGGCCGAGCCTCAGCTCCGCCTCGTCCTCCTGCCGCCCCGCACGCTGGCCTCGCCCCACGCACCCCATTACCCTGCCTCCCCTGCGCAGCACCACGTTCCTGCCGCCCGAGGAGGACATCATGGGAGTCGTGGAGAAGCTGGGCGCCTTCCACGCGAACTTCCTCAAGAAGTACGGCGGCCTGCCGCCTGCGCCGGCCAACGGCCTGTGACGGGCCGGCGGCTGACGGCCCGGGGGTTTTGTGAGCTTCCTCGGGTCAGAGCTTTGCGCTGGCGCGGGCTCGCTTGCAGGCAGTGGTGGAGGCTCGGGGGCAACCTGTGGTTTGCACACAGGGCAGGGGAAACGTTGTCGCTCTCGCGCTGTGGAGCAGGCCGCACGAGAGGTTTGGATCCTGAGAGGCGTGGTACCCGCGGCCGCTGGCTGCTGAACCCTAACCTAGATTGGAGTCGCCCGGTGCGCTTTGCGAAGCCGGGCGGTCGGCCCGAGTCATTCACCCTTGTAGTCGTTTGCGGCCATTCGCACAAGGCGAGCAGCCGGCAGCTGCGCACTCTGCCCCGCAGAGCGTACCGTTTGTGTTGGTTTCCTGACACGCATTTGAACTTAAAAATTGACGACGGCCGCCCAGCACCTCCAGTAACTTGGGTTTCGTTGGCCGTAGCGCGTTCGGTTTTGGCAGGTGGCGGGTCAAAACACATGGTCAACCCGTCTGCAGAGACCTAATGGGCGTCCTGCGAGTCCCGCACGTGCAGGTTACAGCGTCAACGGTGCTTTGAATGCAGGGTGTTGATGAGCTCATGTGCCGTTTTGCATAGGAACGGGCCCAGTGATGCGTGATGCAGCGACGCATGGCACACGACCTGTGACAGCAACAGCTGCGCTCATGTGGTGTATGGGAAAGGGAGCCTGCAATGGTTCTTATGCGGCCATTACAATCGAGCCACTTTACTTGTGGCTCCTGCCTGGCTATCAGGCACCGGCCAGCAAGCGAAACACTTTCTTCTGGTGTTGACCTGCACTGAAACCAGCATGCACTGAAGCAGTTTTGTCATCGCCGGGACCCTTGCTAGACGCTGTGTGCGACGCAGTCTTTGGACGCATTCATTTCTCATGTTTGTTTGCGACCCTTATACACCGTACGCAAGCTCGACCGATCTCGTTCCGTGCACGACTAGGCTCACGACATCTTCTGCGGCGCAATATCCAATCAAATATGCAGTGCACATATAAGCAACACGGTTGGCGAGGGGCGAAGCAGCAGGGCCGAGCAGCAGGTGAGAGTGACCGTTCGAGGTTGCGCCTGCTCCTGCTGCTGTCAGCAATGCGTCGTGCATAGAGGTTTTCAGATACCTAGTATTCTCGTGCATCTTCACCTTCTTACAACGGCTGCAGGCCCCGCTTGTGTCGCAGGCCGCGTAGGGGGTGCCGCGCCCCTGGCGCCGCGCCGCTCGCCGCCCCGCCAATCGCGTGCGGCACGCGCGCTTATGACGGATGTAGATGAGTTGCAGGTGCGTTCACGTCATCAATGCGGGCATGCGCAGCGAGCTGCATCCCGCCGCCTGCTGTGCATGCTGTGACCGCTGTCACTTTTCGGTGGAAATACCCCCCCCCCCCTGGCCCCGCCTCCGCTTTGGTGCGTCCCCAACGCAGACCGCAGACGACTTTTATTACATCCTTGGCGTGGTGGGTTGCGGCGTCGGCGAGCTGGGTATGGAGGGGGCGGGAGCGTCTTCCGAGCAAGAGCGGGCTGGCGCACTCGGCGGATGCGCACGGGCGGTCAAGAGGCCGGCCGCACCGCTGAGCAGCCGGAGGCTGCGCCGCGCCGAACCGGCCTAACGCGCGCGCCCGACCGCCCTGCCCTCCCGCTCCCATGGCCGCCGGCCACTGCTTACGGGATGGCGCTCGCAGCGACCTGGGCCGCGGCCTCTACTTGGATTACTAAACCTCTTGCTGCCGTGCCGCGTGTGCTGCGGCGGCTGACACCCCCCACATTACATGAGGCGGGCAGCTCATCTCGTACACATGACCCACGCCATCTCTTCTCAACTCATAAATCCGGCGAAGCTTCAACACCTTTCCCCCGTTTTTAGACACCACGCCCTCGCCACCCCTCAACCCCATGATATTCGCAGTCCCCCAGGGCCACGACTAAGCAGATCAAGGATGCATACCGCGGGCTCATGAAGGAGTGCCACCCCGACATGAGCGGCGACGAGGAGAGCGCCGAGTTTGCGACGCTGCTCAATGAGGTGCGCGGTGTGAACCTGCACCACCTGATCTGAGTTTTCTATGACCTGTTTGCGCAGCAAACCGCCCACGGCCCAGGCAGTTTGAGCCTACCGTCACGTCTACATCTTCGCGTGACCCCGCCCCCCCTGGTGGCTGCCGTCACACTTGTGCACCGAAGCCGCGCCAGAATCACCGATATTGGGGACCTGCGATCATCACCCACGTCCTCTGCCGTCCTCAACCATCCCACCATCGTCCCCGTCTGTCCCCCATTCGTCCCCCACCGTCCTCAATTGGCCCCCATTGTCCCCCATCCTCCTCCCATCGTCCCTCATCCTCCCCCAATCGTGCCCACTTGTCCCCAAGCGTCCGTGTACGTCCCCCATCCCCCTCAAT